AGGCAATGAGCTCTGGCCCCCGCAACTGTCCTTGGATTTGGTTGCAAAAGCACGTCTGGTTTGTACCTTGCAATGATTCCCAGGTCCGATTGTTCTCCACAGCTTCTGCCCCAAAGGGCTGGCCCAGCAGAGAGCCGTGTGGTCCCAAGGGGAAGCCAGGGGCTGAGAGAGAAGGAATGGCTGGAGAGCACCCAAAAAGCTTTGGCTGCCGTTTTAAACATGGCCAAAACCAAACATACATTTGCCAGCCCTCCCCAGAGACAAAGCCACCATCTTTCCCGCTGCACTGTGCGGATGGGGCCAGGAGCTGCCGGGGAAGCAGCAGCAGCTGCCAGAGCAGCTTCTAGGAGATGGTAAAGACCAGATAGCAAGTCCTTAAACCCAACCCTCCTCAGACTGGCCAGATTATACCACGTCTGTGCTGATCCCCGGCCCAGATGTTTTGTGGAGACTCCACCAGGAGGCAGATGCTGCCTGGGAGGACCTGGCTCTACAGGCATTTTCAGCACTGCTGCAGTTACCACTGGCTAAAGTCCTTGAGTAGACGAGACCTGGTGCACTCAACACTATCTCATCGGAGGCACAGGAAGCAAAAGAGGCAACAAGCCCTGTGGGGGCTCCTGGGATCCAGGCATCTACACTTCAGCTCTTGATGCGCTTCTTTATCATGCTGCATGAAGCTGCCATGCAGCCACCACTCTCCTCCCCAGAGCTGGCTGCATGTCACCACTGGGTGAAGCAATGGGTTACATAGAACCACATCTGACAGCCAGGAGGGACGAAGCAGAATGAAATGGGTTGTAAAGGGGGTTTAAAGGCCACTGCTAAATCAGTTTAATTGGTGCTTTGATGATGCAAAGTCAAGGCCTCCCACTGAAATCAAGGGCAAATGCCACTGGGTTTTGCCAGGCGAGGCGTCAGCCTGCACGGTGGTATGCGTCACAACGATTTGGGGGGGTGGAGGGGGGTTGCATTTAATGTCCTGTCTCTCCCTAAGGTCAGCATTTAACAGGGGCCCTGCTTGGCTCAGAGCTCCCCAGAAAGGAGCAGGATGCAGGAAGCAGCGCTCACCCCTGGCGTGGAGGGGAGCCGGGGGTCACCTGGGAAAGTGAGTTCACACCTCAGCAGGGGCTGGTGCTCAGCCGAAGACATTTTTCCCCCAAGATTCACACCTTTGCTGTGTGGTAAGTCACCACACAGGGAGAACAGGATGTGAAGAGGGGTGCGGGGGTGGAGGACGAGGAAACAGCCAGCCCCTCCCCCCAGCCCCCATCCTAAAAGGGCCGCTCACACCTCGGGTTACAAACACAGCTGGCTTCAGGCCTCCCTGATGCAGCTTTTTCAGAAGGCAAACGTGCGTCACCCCCCCGACTCTGCTGGGCAGCTGTGCGGGCAGTCGTGCAGGGTGGGGGAAAACCAGAGGGGCTGTCGCAGAGCCCGGGGGCGGAAGGATACTGCGCTCCCAGCACACACAACCCACGGGGCAGCTGCTGCATGGAGGGCAGCTTATCCTGGGACGACCTACCGCCAGGGCCGTCCTTGGGGGGAGTGCGGGGCCCGGGACAGCCCCGCTTTCCGCCTCAGGCCCCACCCCGATTCCACCCCTTCCAAGCCCCCACCCCGCCGCTTTCTGGCTTCCGCCCCTCTCCCCCGAGCGCTGCTGGGAGGTGGCGGGGCAGAGCGGAGCGGGGAGGGCTAGAGCGGGGGCACTTGCTGCGGCTGTCGCCAGCCCCCCCACTCGCCTCCCAGGCTGCCCTGGGCCCCACAGTGTCCTTCTGCAGACGCGCGGGGCGATAGCCGCTCTGGTTTTCCCCCGCATCCCCCAAAGCGTGGGGCTGAGGGCGGTGCCCCAGTTTGTCCCACCACAACGGGAATTGGGCGAGGAGCGACCCGGGCTCCATCAGGGAGTTGGGTCCAAACAGCAAAATAAGAGCTGGCAGCAGAGGCTGCGGGCCCTGGGCCAGGCCGGAGAAGCAGACTCGACTGGAAGGTCCCCAGGGGAATGGTTTTCCTTGCTGGAAAATGAGGGTTCCCTGCAATCAAAGCCTGGAGCGGGAGCAGGCCGCCTGCAACAACCAGCCCACGGAATCTGGACACGTTTCTGACGGAGCTCTGGGGGCCCGGCCCGTTTCTGATGGAAACCTGCCTGGCGCCCCCACGGCTGCTCGGCTCTTGGGCAGCCTGCCTGGCGGGCCGCCGGGAACTAACTTTCCCCTGAAATGTTGGCACTTCCCCCAGACCAGGACTGGCAGCTTCTGAGCAGCTGGATTTTGGGGTAACGGCAGAGGCTAACCACCTGCTAACCCTGCTGCGTACACACCCACGGCACAGCCAGCAACCAGGCCCCCCAGCTACTGCCGCACGCAATGGGGCAAAGCGGAGCTCAAGGGCTAAGGTCTCCTCTGCGCACCACGGGACGTGGTTACAATGCATTTAAACGCGTACACACCAAGTCAGGAGCTAAGTTGTTTCCAAACCCAGGCTAAAGCTTTGGCCCGGCCCAATCAGTGCCTGGCTGCAGGGGTTCACCCTCACCCCCCCCAGGGTAACTGTATTGTAATACGTCAGGGACAAGTCTCTTGTAACTTGGTCTCCTGCCCACGGCTTGGTCAAGGCTTCAGTGTAGACAAGGCCTCCCTCTCCTGCCGCAAGCACCGAGGCTAGGGCTGGACACTTTAAAAAGAAAAACAGCAACAGAGAGAAGAGCGCTAGGATTCTCATGGAGGAGCTGCAGGTGGAAGAAAATCAGTCACCGAAAACCACCCCGGAGACTTGTGACGAAAGGGTTAGATTAGAAGCCTGCACCTGCCTCTCACTGCGCTGGGTTCCCGAGCACCAGCAGGGGGCTGGTTGGTGGACGCCTGCCCCCTGCTGGAAGGGCTCAGGACTGTTTTGACTGTGCCCTAGGCCTAGACCCTATGCTGTGCCCTAGGCCTAGACCCTAGCAGCTCATGGAGAGTCCTCGTCACACCAAGCAGCACGGTCTGTGCATTTGTAGTAGCAGGATCCACAATCCTCCTCCCCACTTTGTGCAACGTAGCTGCCGGGGAGGCCACACCTTCGGCACATTACAACCAGAGACCTGCACAATGGAGAAACTCAGCATTCAGCAGCAGCCGGAGCAGGGCCCTGCCTCAGAGGCAGCCTCCTGCATATGTACTTTGTGGTTTCCAGCTCTTGGGGACACGGATTTGCCTCAGCTGGTGCGGGGGCAGCGGGAGAGATGACCTCACTCCGTAGCCCTGTGACAAACCTGTGACCGTGGGGCTGAGTGGTCCATTTCACCATGAGGGAAAACAAACCACGTAGGGGGAGAAAAGAAGAACCAGCCTCCAGGACCAACAGAGCAAACCCCCCCCCGCACACACACACAAAAATCACACTGAGGGCCCCACCTAGACTCGACAGGGCTCTGAGGACCTCTGGTGGCTTCCTCTGGTTAGGACAGACAGACATTTCTGGGGCATCTCTTGGTTCACAGCCAAAGTCCAGAGGCCCCCAGCAGTGGCCAAGACCCACAATGAGGCAACGATCCTGAGAGCTCAGTTACTCTCCTGCCTTTAAAAGAGGAGAATCTACACGCCATCCCTCCCTCGCTAGATTTCAAGGGGATTAACTAGGAAGGCGGTCTGAGGCTCTCAAGAAGAATCGCATTGTTTTCAAGAGTCTGTTGAAACTCACTGCCCCGCTGAGCTCCCTTCCATGTGCCCATGTGTGTGGGGAAGCGGATATCCGGACACTGCAGCACTTTCTGGCTTGGCGCTGCTGTGCGTGGCGGTTCCTGGGAAGCCCTGCAGTAGACGTTCCTCAGAGCTGCCCAGAAATTCCCCGGGGGGAAGCTCTCCTTCAAGTTCTTCCTTAAGCAATTCTGCCGCTGTAAAGTCTCAGAGCCGGGCTGTCCGGCCTGCAGAGAGCCGAAAGAGAAAAGCCAAGCCAACAGATGAGACGCTAACAACTACCGGCAGCAGGACCTCTTCAAGTGGAGACACCCCCTTGGGACAGAGGAGAAGGTGTACCCCTCCCTTCCCCCACCCCCATGCAAGAGCTGCCATGACCAGGCCCCAATCCTTCCTCTCCTGCCCCCGACATGTTCCACCTATGTGGATCACATGCCGTTTACTGAAGCTGCATGGATGTAGACTGTTCGTATAGACTGTTTGCTGACCCCTTCAGATTAGTATGGCATGCCTTGGAGATCCATTCAGGATCTCCTCCTATGGCAGTCAGCTATACACGGGATTCATTTTGTCACACACCTAGGAATTACTGATATAAGCAAGATGTTTCTGAAGGAGGAAAGATGGCCTTTGGGTTCAGTGCCTCAACTAGGACTTGGACGATCCACGTCTGAGCCCTGCTGCATGTGAACCTCAGGCAAGTCACTGGCTCTCGCTGCGTCTCCGCTCCGCAGCCATAAAATGGAGACAATGCTGCCCTACTTCACAGAGATGCTAGGAGGAGAAGTTAAAGGAAGGGTATAAGGACACCCCCCCCTTGCAAGTGTGTGTGGGGGTGATTACAGAAGAGACTACCTAAAAGGGGAGTGAGGCTCTTCTCTTATAAGGAATCCTCTCAGCCCTTTCCCCAGGCCCACCAGAGTGTCCCATCGTCCTCTTTCAATGCACCCACATCCTGGACCAGTAACAATAAGGGTAGCATCTTAGAAAACAAAACACCCCCCGCCCCCAAACAACAAAAACCAGAAGTTAGGCTGGAACATCTATTCACTCTTCCCCCCGGACCAACCCTGGAGGGCTTGATCCATCCGTTCATCCAAAAGAGCTATCTTCTTTGCCAGTCTGGATCCACTTCTCTTCCCTCCCGCTGCCTAGGAAGGGGCTCAGAGCCTAGGAAGGCCCTGACCACCAAGGGCACGCGCCCGCAGCTACCCCCATCCACTTTTCTCTCCCGGTGGCCTCCAGATCAGTGATAGGTTGGGACCGGTGTCATACAGAGAACCCAACAAGCACCCACACGGAGATGGAGGCGAAAGACAAGGGTAAACAGGACTGCAATGTTTATTTTGACAAAAAGATAAACCGGATTCAGAAAGCACCAATCCCTCACACAGCCCCCATCCCGCCGCCCCATCGCACACAGGACCCTGCAGCTGGGCAAGCCAGCCCGTCCCTCACACAGCCCCTGTCCTGCCACCCCATTACACACAGGACCCTGCAGCTGGGCAAGCCAGGGCTGGCCAGCCCCGCGGACCAAGCCGGATGGACTGGGGCAGTCAGGGGAGAGAGAGAGGCACACAACAAAAGAGGCTGACAGCACGAAGCTGGTAGTTTTCAAGGAAGGAGGGTAAGAAAAGTTTGACCCATCGAGGCGCTGCAGAGCCAGACACAGTGTGACCCCTTTCCAGAGTCAAATTCTGTTACAACTGAAGACAACAACAATTGGCTTCTATGGGGCAGGACCCAGACACTATCAAGTGAAGTCAATCGGGCCCTTCCATTTTTTTCTGTGCATTGCAATGCCATTGGTTAGAGCAGAGGGGGAGCCGGCTTGAGAAAGATTGATTAGAGGAGGATTCCCGCAGCTGTGGCCTTTGCAGGACGAGGCCAGGTAGTAAGAAAAAAAGCCAGGAGACACCAGCAATCAAATCACACTATTTCAGTGTGCAAAGAACCAGCTTGGGTTGCCTTCTTCCAGCTTCTCTGCTCCACAAGTTTAAACCGATTACAGAACAAGAGTGGAATTAGCAGCAGTTCAGGGCCAAAACCCACAAGCGATTGTAAAACAAGGGAGGGGCTTTATTTCAAAGTTTGTCTGCAAAAGGCAGCCGGGGCGGGGGGGGGGGGGATGGGGTTCTTCGAGAGAAAAGGAGTAGGATACCTCCAGCCTTCGAGCATCACTCCGGGGTTCAGAACGGTCACTGCACACCACCAGTACAGGAGATCTGCAGCAGCCCACACTTCATCCCCAGCAACCTGCCCCCCAGACACAGGTCTCTCTCCACTTCTTGGAGACGCAGCGGCAGACACAGCACTAGGGGGACTTTCCGGGTCTCGGCAAAGTACGCTACAGAGCATTCGCTGTGGCAGAGCACAGTTAGCACTCACAGTACATACGCTGGGTCGATTTTGTGTGCGCGTTTCCTTAAGCGTTTGCAAAAATCCCCCATCACCTGTGCTTGGGCTTCCCAGTTTAACCCAGTGAGGTACTGCTGTACATTTTGGGGGCGAGAAGAGAAAAAAAAAGCACCAGAGGCCATCATAACCCTGCCAAAGTCAACTGGCCAAGGGAGAACGGAATGGAACAATGGAACACCCCAACATCTGCTAAGTGGGAAACCCCACTCTGACAGCAATCCCAAAAGAGGACCCCAGGTGCCTTCCTGGTTCAAAACCTCATCCCTACGGTCGAATAAATAAATAAGTTAATGTAGCGTTATATGCAGGAGACTCCCTGGGGATCGGAGGCTCATCTGAGGTGGGTTTCGATCCGCAGTACAGCCAAGTTGCTTCTAATGATCACTTGGTTTTCATCACATGCGCCTTTAAAATCATCAGGCCCCTTTGACGCTCCTCCCCCTTCCCCGTTGCCACAAAATGTGGATGGCCCCAGCCACTCAGCCAGGGACCGTCCCAACGTACCTGGAAACCATGGCAGCAGAGAGGGGGATGCGCGGCGAACATCAGGCCAGCGAAGAGAGCAGAATCTTCTACAAACACCATGGGCAGCGGCAGTCCAAATGCCCCACGGGTTTGCCCCATTTGACCCTTGACCTTGCAGCCAAGATGGCCAGTTGTGAGTGATGCGGACGCCAGATCTGCCAGCCAGCCAGCTTGCATAGCATGGGCCAAAACAGCCAGCAGCTGGCAAGGACTGTGGTCCAGACCTCAAGATTATTTAGATGCCTAACTCCCATTGAAGCCAATGGAAGATAGGCACTTGGTCTTGGCCCTTATCCCTGCATGCCTGGGCTGCAACCAAACCAATAATCCTACAGGTCTCGTTCCTGAGCCCCCAGCTCTCCTCGTCCCAAATTATAGTGCATTGGTGCTCTGCTCACTGCCATCTGCCTCCAGGTCTGCTGCCAGTAAATGCATTGTCTGGTTAGCTTTGGGGCTGGAAGCCAGCCCGGGGAACTGAAGTGCTGAGAGTCTGATTCCATGGAGCAGAGGCGCAGGGGAGTGCCTGATCCAGGCGCCGTCTCTCCCACACTCGGAGCCAGAGCTCGAACCAATTCAAAGGAGAGCTCCCGGGGTGGGGGCCTTCCCCTGCTCCTCCGCCCCAAGGAGGAGGCAGCTCGAAGAGCTGCTCCTGCAAATCTGATTGGCAGGAAGGTGGTGGTGGGTGGGAAAAAAGAGAATCATCTCTATATAGGCATCGACCACAGGACGGAGACTTATTGGACTCAGATCAAACTGGAACGCGGTGGCATCACTTGCTGGGCCACTCCCAGCTCCCGCTGGCTACAGCTAGGGGGGAAATCTACAGGCCGGGTTCACTCATCCCACACCGCCCTGTGCAACCTCCACTAAGGCACACGCAGAGGGGAGTGGAAACCCAAACCCGCCTCGTCCCTGAATGTCTTCCCTTTCCGTAGCTTCAGTCAGGCTGGCAGGGCTCAGGGTCAGAGGGGACAGCCACCCCCAGCCCGAGAGCAGCATCCCATGGCCGCTCCTCAGAGCCAGCCCAATCTTGCTCAGCGCAAGGGGGGCTGAGAGTGCCCGGCAGGGTGGGCGAGTACCACCGGGAACCAGTAGTGATCACAGCAGGACATGGCCCCCTCCAGCACACAGGGCCTGCCGCAGCAGCTGCCTGTGATGGAGTTGCTGGGCTCCCAACCCCCTTGCTGCCGTCTTCCCTTTAAGCTTTGGGCAGCAAGCGATGGGCCCACGTGCAGGCAGAGGCTGCTCTTCACACACCAGGGCAGCGTCCGCTCTGCAAGGCTCCTTCACCCCCTCTCCAGCTGGCACCACGGCCTCTGGGAGGCTAATCCGGGCCGCTCGCTGGCTGCCACGCATGAGCTTGCGCTGGGAAGAGTCACGACATCGGTGGCCGGGCGGGGGCGCCTTGAACCCGGGTCTCCCGCATGGCGCCATCCACTGATCCGTGCAGTGGGGGAGGGAGGGAAGAATTCCATTTAAAGAGACAGGCCACATTTCCCCTGATCCTTGTTCCTCCGGATGCCGTGAGCTGGGCCCAAGGCTCTGGCCCTTCCACCAGTGACATCCCCAAACCTCTCTCGAGCTGGGCTGTACCAGGTCCCTTCTCTGCCCCACAAACCAGGCAGAGGACAGGGCATTTCACCCACCTTGGCTCAGACGCCCAGGGTACCACCGGCCCAGGGCAGAGCCGTCAGAGGGGCACAGGCCCCGATGGAAAAGCCAGGCACAGGGCGAGCCAGCCACACAAGAGTTAATAAATAAAGTCTGGCCTGAGGGCATGGGCACTTCCTGGGCTACAAAATCCCCTCCCACCCCACCATGGGGCAGAGAGAGCCTTAAAGGAGCCGGTGCATTTAAAATGCCTCCTCCTAAGGAGGGGGGCAAAGTTAGTAAAGAGTCAGTGTTAAAAAGAGAGCCCGTGTGCACGGGCGGGCGTCACATCCTACAGGGCAACGCTGCGAGGTCCCACAGCGACAGCAGCCAGTCCCCAGGCAGGGGCGGGGTCCTGTGCCCCGGTTTCCGTCCGGGGAGCACATGGGGCACAGCTGAAGTCCCTACCCCATCCCCACTGGGAGTACCCAGCCTCTACCAAGCGCTGCCCCCTCTCCTCTCTGCGTGCGGTGGTGCCGTGGAGATCTCTCCGGCTCACGTCTGCTCTGCTGCTGCCACCTGCCCGGCCACCTCCTCCTTGGCGGGGGGCTCCATGAAGATCGGGGTCACCGCAGCGGGCTTCTTCGACCTGCAGGGACCAGCCAGGAGCAGCTGGTCAGACACGGGAGCACTTGAGGGGCTGCAACTCCCGCGCTGGGTGCTGTACAGGCCCGGGCGAAAGGGGCAGATCCCTGTAACCACAGGGAGCAGCTGGGATTCTGCTCAAGAGTGGTATTTACTGGGTTAATATGGAGCCTTCGGCTCTAAGAGGTTGGAGGGGGTTTTCCCCTCTCCCCAGGCAGGGGCCCACCAGGGTTTCCTTTGTAAGAGGACCCAGCCGCAGGCACGAGCCCTGACTCGTGCTGGGTGCAGGAGGGGAGCCCGCTAGCCCTGCGATTTCATGGGGCGCTGCAGGGATCTTGCACCCCCTCCTCCGGGCCCCTCCCCGGGGGGCGTGGCCATACTCACGAGTAAGGGGAGGCGGGCACGCCCACCACCAGGATGTGGTTCTTCTTGCGGAAGAGACGCCACAAGCCTTTGTGGTTCCCGCGGACGTCCAGGTCCCAGACGTGAAGGCACTAGGAGGGGGAGCAGTGGACAGAGAGCTGAGGACATGTACCACGGCCCACCCTGCCACGCTCCACCTGCGGCTCTGGGCCGGTCCGGGCTGCAGATTTGCTCGGCGGAGCGATGGAAACACTGACCACGCCCTGGGCTCAAAGCGCTGCAAATCCCACTCCTTCTCCCACGGCTGCTTGGGGAGAGCCCAATGCTCCCTCCCCTTCCCCTCAGCAGCCAGCCAGTAACCCCACGGCAGGGCAGGCTCTTGGCTCCTGATGCGCGAGCCAGCCCGATTCACAGGTCGAGGGGAGACTGCAGGGCCGGGGAGCAGAAACCTGCCTCCTTCTCCCAGGGACCTGACCACACGTGCTCTGGTACCTTTGGTGCACAGTCAACCCCGGAGTCACTGTGCAGGCTGGAGCCCCCGTTTAAGGCTCGGGGGCAAGTGAATCGGCCAATGGGAGTTGGTGCTAGGGGCCAGCTGAGCGCCAGACAAAAGTTGGGCCTCGTAGCTTGAATCTCCGCCGCCATGGAAGCCACAGCTAAGAATGGTGGGGAGGGGGCTGCAGGCACACGGGGACCAGGCAGGGAATCACCTTGGCGAGTTGAGTCCAGGTGGTGAAGTCGGCTTCCTGCTCCATCCTGATGTACATCACGTAGGTCTTGCCCTCGGTGTCGGGCAGGAAGGAGTCCTCGCACGGGTTCTTGCTGTGATCCAGAGCCGCAGCCTCGCTGAAATGGGGCGCAGGGCTGGTGAGTGGGCATCCAAGGGCGCCCACCACCCCCTGGCATGCGATACACATAGGGTCCCAGCCGATGCCGGAGGAAAGGCTAGGACCACATTAGGACCCATCTGTCCCTCCAACAGGAGGCATTAGATATACCCCTGTGAATCCCAAAGCACTGGCAGGCCCTGTTACAGCCCTGATCTTTCAGGGCATGGGACGCAGAACACACTTACCCCAGGAGCCGGTGAATTTCAATCTCGTAGGCGTCCTTCTTTAAGCTGCATGGGAAAGACAGAGCGTAAAGGGCCAGCGAATGGAGGAGGGAGGTTCTGTGAGATGGGCCACATGCCACGGATGGACAGCCACACACTTCATCTCCCAGCCAGGTCCAACGTCCCCAGCGTCACAACAGGGGAGGAGAACAGCGGGTGCCGGTGACATGGTTCCTGCACCAAGCGTTCAGCCCCCTGGTGCTTTGGCTTAAGTGACATATGCCAGTGGGCATCTGATCCAATGCACCTTGTGTCACTCTCTGCTCGGCAGGATGGAAAGCTACTGGAACACGTCCGTTCAGAATGGAGGGGCTGTGACGAAGTGGGACTGTTCTTAATGTTTCCTCTGAATAGTGTGGGGGTGCCTCAGTTTCCCCTAGGCAGTTCTTAAGTATCTAGGGGGTGGGGTAAGGGTGTATGATCATTGCAGAGCCCTAGAGGGCAGGTGTGTGCAGGAGTCTGGACACAGAGAATGGCCGACACCCTGTTTCCTGGCAACTGATGGCCTGGGCCTTCCCCCCCTGCAAGGTGAGATCTAAAGGGTTGGAGAACAAAGGAATCAGGTGACCTCCTGGCCCGGGAAAGGAACAAAGCCCAGAGGAGGAGGGGCTGGAGGGGGTTTTCTGTTTGGGGCTGGCTGGGACATGGAGTGAAGTGCAGACGTGGTTGTCTGGCTCACTGCCCCCCAAAATGGACCCAGCTGAGGGGTCCCGTTCTCTGCACCTGCAAGCTCTGTTTTAGACCATGTTCCTGTCGTCTAATAAACCTTCTGTTTTACTGGCTGGCTGAGAGTCCCGTCTGACTGCGAAGTTGGGGGGCAGGACCCTCTGGCTTCCCCAGGAGCCCCGCCTGAGCGGACTCGCTGGGGGGAAGCACACGGAGGGGCAGAGGATGCTGAATGCTCCGAGGTCAGACCCAGGAAGGTGGAAGCTGTGTGAGCTGTGTGTCCTGAAGACAGGCTGCTCACAGAAAGGCGACTGCCCCAGAGTCCTGACTGGCTTCATGGGGAGCAGTTCCAGAGCATCGCCCAGGGACTCCGTGACAGGGGCCCTGGCAGAGCTACGCGCAGTGGAGAAGGGGGAGCTCGGAGCTGGAATAGGGAAGCTGCGGTGGGGTGGGATAGAATTAAGAGGTACAAGAGACAAAGCCCTTTATGGTGCAGCAGGCTCTGGGTGACCTCCAGTCGTTCCTTCGCAGTGGGCTGGCACTCACCTCTCCACGTTTTTGAGCTGCACATTCGGGACGGTGTTGAATTTGTGCTTCTTGAAATAGGCTTCCTGGGAACCAAGCGCAAAAAGGGACTTGTCAGAGGATCACCGCTCATCCAGCTCACCCGGCTCCATCCTTCGGAGCCAAGACAACGCTCTGGCTCACGCCCCTTCCCCGACTGATGCGCCTCGCGAGCCCAGCGCAGAGGTCAGATAACAGCCCAAGGCAATGCCCAACGGGCAGCCTCTGCACCTCGGAGCAGGGAGGGGAGCCTGTCTACCTGCCCGCCCCCTCCCCACCCCCGCGGGAGACGGCACTCGGCATCACTCACGTGGAAGTAGCCGTTCATGTTGAGCCCCACGATGCCGAAGTGGTAGGAGCGCGAGACGTCAGGGATGATGCATTCCCGGCCTTTCCGCTGCTCCGGCATCCGCATCCACATGTCCCAGTCCCACAGCTGGAGAGGGGAGAGGATGCTGCTTTAGAGTGGGAATCTGGCTGCTGCACTGGGTGCTTGTCGCTGATCACGCTGTTCCTTAAAAAAGCCCCTTAGCCCCTGGAGATAAAAATACTTCTGTGCCAAAGACTCCCTCCCCGGACCTCCATGCCTCCGGGCATGTTATTGCAGGTTGCTCGTGGACACTGGATGCTGTACGCAGGCAGCCATTGGTTATGGCCAGAGCCCACACGGCACCCCCTGGTGTTGGTTATTGTAGGGCTTCTCAGACAGATTTCTGGCAGAGATGGACGTGTTTTTAGACAGAGCACTGGCTTTACCCAGGCTCTGCAGACAGCGGGGTCGGTAACCCCTCGGAGCTGGGGGCTCGGAACGTGGACGCCGTCCCTGTATCTAAAAACCTAAGAGCAAGACGCGTCGCTTGCGGGCGCCCACAGCCCGGATGCTTCATGGCAGCTCCTCTGCTAGCTGCCCACCAAGATTCACAGCCCCTGCTCCCCCCATACCCGCAGCAATAGGGGTGCCAGGGCTCCTACCAGGCAGAGCGGAGGGCACTGACCTTCTCTGGGGTTGGCCATTTCGGCTCTAGTTCGTCCTTGTAGAGGCTTTTGCTCAGCACCCAGCCCAGGCCGGGCATGGTCTCGACGCGGTACAGGAGCGAGGGGTCCTCGGCTGTGTGTTCGTAGCCCTGCGGAGCCAGAGGGCAGCGTTCAGCGCGCCCTCGCCGGGATGCCGACAGGGGGCCACGGGGACCCCGGGAGAGCAGGTACGCCAGGAGGAGGCGTTATTCCCAGCACAGGAAGGCCAGTGCTTCGCCCCTTCCTTTGGGTGGGGGTTTCCTCACCAGCCTCTGGAAGGGATTAGCACCTGCCTGCCCCACCCGCCCTGAAGCCCTTCACTTCCCCTCCCACCTTCACATACATCTCCCACCCCCGCCCTGAGCTCTGCAGGGTCAATTCCGGGCCCCTTAATATTAGGGGGCCGACTGGGCGAGCTGAGAGGGTCTTCTCTAGCGGTGCATGCAGCCAGTGCACACTGGCCCCCAAACCAAGCGGTGTTGTGGCCTGGTGCCTGGGTGAAGGGGGCGGGGAGGGAGAGGGGTGTCGCAGCCCCACTCAGGTTTGGCCCGTCTGCTCTTCCGTCTCCATCTGTGGCGGGACGGATGAACCAAACCCCCAGGGGCCAGGTCGTAACGCCTAGGGTGGGCACAGGACGGTCTCGCTCTCCCACCCAGCGGGGGTGGAGCATGGCGCAGACTCGGCGCTGGGACCAGCAGCTGCAGCGGGGGCCATCTGGGATCTCCTCAGCTCACATGGTACGTCTCTGTACCGCGTGAAGCATTTCTGGGGCCCCCCCCAGCTGCCTTTGCAGAGGGAAGAGCGTGCTGCGAACGGAGCCGGAGGCAACAATCCCCGCCAGACGGGCGGCAGGAACCAGCGCCTGGAGGAGACGGAGCACAGGGACACTGGACTGCATCGGAGCGGGTCTTGCTGTGGGGTTACAGAGGCGGGAGAAGCGAGTATCCATGAGCCTACCTGATCGTTCCAAGCAGAGATGCAGTACAGGCTGTCGTCCTCCTCCAGTAAATAGATCGACTGGCTCAGGAAGCTAGAAACGAGACAGATTACAGACAGGACTGGCCGCACCCCCGGGTGCCCAGCTCACCCTGGAAAAGGATTCTCTCCCACCCACAGCTATGAGACACAACACCTTGATCCTAAATAAGCCCCTCCGTCCTCCAGCTGGGCAGAGGAGGTAACAGACGCCTAGGAACCCCCAGTACGCCCATCCGTCATGGAGGCTCTTTGCTCAGACCCACTAGGCAGGCAGCTCCCACCCTCACAGCCAGAGAGGATGGTGGGGAGAAGTTAAGGCAGGGGCCAGAGGAGAGGGACAGTTGCCAGCCTCAGCGCAGGGCAAAATGTGGGTCAGCTGGGGCCAGAGGATGCTCAAAGCATTTTACTACCTGCGGGAAGTCACTTAAAGCAGCCTTTGACCCAGCGATCAGGGTTCAGCAAAGGAGATCAAAACGACAGTGGGCCAGATCCTCCGCTGATGTAAAATCAGTGTAGCCTTGCTGACTGCAATGGAACTACAAGTGCTTACATCAGCGGAGGATCTGGCCCAAGCTGTTTCTAGTCCCTGTAGTAATTCCTCTGCCGGCACCGGCCCTCGACAGCTCCCAGAACCAGCCTCAAATGCTCATGTATTAATTAAGCTTCCGGGCCCCGCTGTTAGGTAGGTACTGCAAGTAGCGAGCCCATTTTACAGACGGGCAAAACAGAGGCATGACAAATTCCAGTGATGTCCCCGCGTGAACTCCCAGTAAGTCAACAGAAGAGCCAGGAGTTCTAGCAGCACTGACCTCTCACCATCGAGGAAGCTGTCGAGCAGCTAAAACCCTAGGACGGATGGAGATTCTGACACATGCCCTCTTTGTAATCAGAGTTTGGTTGTGGATAATAGGGTCACCCCCATCCCAGCATCAGCAGGATGCTCCCACGTCTCCCGGGACCATCCTGCAGACCGTGGTGCACCAGTAGAGCGAAGAGCCACTCGTTTCTGGTCTGGCAAGACAGACGGATGTGGCTGGGCCTCCGAGACGACAAGGGAGCTGCAGGGCCAAGCAGAGGGCCTGATGTCAGCATGTTACAAGCCTCACCTGAAGAAGTCGATGGAGATGTCCAAGTCTTCTTCCAGTACTACAGCAAACTTGGCATCCTGGGAGGGAAACGAGAGACATCAGCAGGATGAAGGGGACTAAGGACAGACCAGAGACATCTCACAGCATCCCCTTGTCTACGCTACTCTCCGCGCTCGGCCCCAACAAGCCTCGCGGACGTGATTTGCACCAGGCCCGTCTCGACTCAAACCCAAAGTGGTGGTGCTTGGCCATGGATGCTATCTCACAGGCAGCCATTTTGCTTCTCAGAGGACTTCATTTCGCAGCCATCGCTCCCGTGAGACGGGCATAAGGGAAGTGGGTTCAGTGACACCAGGGAACTGCGGTGTTCCCAGCGCCAGCAGGAAGACACCCAAGCTGCTGCCCTGAGTGGGTTTCCCTCCTTCTCCCCCGCCACACTCCTGGATGCTGCGCCATGACGAGAATTTCTGCTCCTGTCAGCAGGCACCGCGGGCATCGCTCTCCTGATGCGCAAGTGCCCAGCTCGTCCCTGAGTGGGTCCCCAGGCGCTCATTATGGGGAGCGGAAGTGCCCGGCGCTGAGAGCGGAGACGGTCAAGAGGAGCAAGGACTTGCTCACCGGGTGCAGGTTGAAGGTTGCAGTCAGACTGGCCTTGTAGTGCTGTGGGAAGAGACACGGGTGTTAGCAAACACCACCACCGAGGCGTCTATCCCCTCCAGACACCGATTAACGGTCGCTATCGGAGGGCGCCCATGGGGGAAGCATGGATCCAGTCCATGAAAGAGTCTACTACTGCTGACAGGTCCATGACCCACCCTTTCATTCAAGCAGTGGAAACTCCTGCTTTTATTGCTCTAGGTCAGGGGTGGCCAAACTGTGGCTCACAAACCCACGGTTACCATTGAAGTGTAGCTCGCGGAGCCCCCACGTTCCCCCCTCCCGCCCATTCTCCACCTACCAGACTTGGGAGGAGCTTGGGACCCCTGTCTTGCAGCAGAGTGGTAGGGTAGGGGCTTCTGCCCAGTGGGGGCGGGGGGGTCTCGGTGCTTCAGCAGGAGCAGGGCTGAAGCCCCGAGCCCTGGCAGGTGCGTCCTGGCTCTCAAACTTCTGAAGGTTGTCGTATGCGGCTCAAAGGATCAGTAAATTTGCCCCCCCGCCCCGCCCTAGGTCCTAGATTCAAGCCCCACTACCGATCTGTGTGGAAGGCATAGTGCACCAGGAAGAGGGGGGAGAATTTCCCCAAGTGGGGCCAGAGGGAAAAGTAGGAAGGGTCCCTCACCTGGGACACTCGGGCATTTTTAATGCTGATCGGAGTGTGCTGGATCCCTTTCAGGCCAAACAACTCCACCACGTCCATTGGCTCCTGGAAGAGAAAGACACGAGACTCACTCACCGCACAGGCCCCAGATCTGTCTACACCTCTACGCTCAGCCCCTTCTCTAGCGCGCAGGGTTAGCAAGCCTAGAGATGGGGCAAAGTCTCTGATGGCATCTGATGCTTCAGGCAAGTGTGGGAAACACCCCACAGTGGGCTTAACTGTGCAGTGCTGCGCCATGGTGACCTAAGGAAACAGCAGGGCTGCCTGACCTCAGTGGATAATCAGCTTGTGCCCTGAAGCATGAGCATAGATAACCCCTGTAATGGTTAACCCAGCTTGTTTAACTGAAGTCCTGCTTTGAGCAGGGGGTTGGACTAGATGACCTCCTGAGGTCCCTTCCAACCCTGATATTCTATGATAAGTGGCACATTAGCCATGCTCACTCACGTAGGTGTCTAATCCTTCTTCATGTGCATACTGTAAAGAATGGGGAGGTGGGGGGGGTAGCACGTTCCATGGGTACACGCAACAGCTGTGTTTTATACACGTACACCAGAGAGAGGCTTCCTTTACCATCCGGCATGAAACCAGGTCACCTCTCCAGCTGACCAGTAATCCCATTAGAGAGCCCCTTAGTCATCCCAGGCTCTGTGCACCCAGAGTCTGGCCCCCCCTCTCCCCCGCCCGCAGCTCCCTATTGTAACCGGGGAAGGGAACTCGGATTGCATCAAGCACCAAGGGTTTATCCTCCCCCGGACACCCCAATAAAATGACAGCACGGTGCTCAGCATCTCCTGTTCCACTCATGAAAACAGGCCCAACGTTCATGCTGCTCCCTCATAGGCCAGGGAGCTGGCTTCCCGTTGCCATGGCAACGGGATGCATCCAGCATTATCTGCTCTCACTTACAGAGCATTAGTCACTGTGGCAAATGTCTAAAAGAAGAGGATTCCTCCCCTCCCCCCCACCACAACTGGTTTAATTCATGTTCTTCCTCGCCAAGAAAGAGCTCTGCTCATCTCATTCCCTCACGCCGACACTAAATGGAGTGGTGCTGTATGAACAGGAGAGACAGAAACGCTGGGTCTGATGGAGGGGGAAAAAAAAAGAAGATAGTCACCCTTACCCTGCAGTACAGTCCAGACCCAGTAACGGTGCTTGCAATCAACGCCCACTAGACAGCATGTCCTAAGCCCCTTAGGCTACTAGCCAGGTGCCAGCCTGGGAATTGCGGGGGAGGGATCTGGGTTCTGCTCCAGGCTCAGTCATGGTGTGACTTTGGGCAACCTCTGCACCTCGGGCACCCCCCGCCCAGCTGAACCACGGGGATATAATGCAAAGCGGAGTCACCAGCAAAGCACTTGGAGACCGAAAGAGGTGAAAAGTTCCACACAAGCATTCGGGTCATCTGGCTCTGTCCACAGCGAGGCCTCAGCTTACAGACAGGGGGAGAAGATGAGGTTTACAGGGAAAGGCCAACCGAAGGCAGGTTGTTTTAAGCGGCTGTGGGGGGGGGTCTGACCACTGCCCCCCCTCCCCCCACTAATGCTAGGACTATGCAGTGTGACGGCTTCAAAAGTCACATCCAGCTGCAAGTCAGAGAGTCTAACCCAGGTTCCAATCTTGAGACAGATTTGTGGGGCAGGGGGTGTTTATTTTGGCTGTGGCGCATCTGGTCAAGCCTGGACTGGAAGGGGTCTGATGGACATAGGGGTGCTTGGTGGGGAACATGGAGCTGCACCCTACAATATGGGTTATGTGTAGGAATCCTGAGGTCCGGGGGAGCAGAGTTTCAGCACTCCAAACACAAGGCCCGTGACTGAAAGCCATTAAGGCTAAACAGGTCTAACTTCCAGACAATGGAGCAGCCATCATGGGGGCTTCTCCTTACCTGGCCTGGCCTGTCAAGTGGGAAAAAACAGTTGGAGAGAAATGGAAGATTGCACCCCTGGCCCTGTAAGAAAAGCCATTCAGGGTGTGTCTGTTCTGCACTGTAAACCGGGTCTGTGGAAGTGTCCACACTGCATTGTAACCCCGGGTTTACAATCGCCACACCTGGGTCTCCCAGGCCTGTTAATGTGTCCGTACGGCGCTATGCAGACCTTCTGACGCGGGTCTGCGGCTGGAGCTGTGATCATGCTGCAAAACGACAGCGCTTGGACCAAAGTCTCTGTGGGACTGGGGCTCTGAACCATGCTCTCAGCAGGTTGCTAGGCCCCGGGTCCTGTGCGTGGACAGAAGTGGGGCTTGGGCTCAAACCTGAGTCAGTCTAGGATCAGCGGGCAGCGTAGACGGACCTGGACAGATGGTAAGTGGGGTCTGGCTTATGCAGGGAGGAGAGGATTTTGAGAAATGGGTTTCCCTGGGGAGGGAATCACTCTCTGGAAGGCAAACGGAGACCAGGCTGGCTCCCAAGAACTCTTGGGCTTGCCAAGAGAACACGCTGGGTCCGTTCGGTTCCTCTAACCGGTGGGAAGCCCGTCTAACTGAGCTCGCAGCGAAGCCTAAGGTCAGATGGGTCTAGACGAGCGTGGCAGCTGACTGCTGTTTTAAAGTCACTGTCTCCAACGCTTCGCTCCATTTGCTAAATAAACCCACTTGATTTCAGAAGGCTGCAGGTGACCGCCGGTCGCAGGATCTCAGAGGGAAGGAGCACGAGGGAACAGGCAGGCCTGGGAATAAGTGGGGCTGGGTGACTAACTGATTCTGTGGGCCACTGACCAGTCAAAACCCCCAAAAAAAAAAAAAGAGGCAGTTTGGGCCGACCTGAGTCTCAACTTTTTCAGAGTTTTCAGGGAAGCAAAAAGAGTTGGCAAAAAATTTGATTCAAACAAAATAGTCAGTTTTCAGGCATTTTTAAAGGGTTAGATTAATGGGGGAGGTGAGCAGATACAAATTCCCCCTCGGGAACAGGGATTTGAATCCAGATCTTCCCTTTTCCAGGTAAGCGTTCAAACCACCAAGCCACCAGCTACCCTGAGGTGGGGCTCTTAAATTCTAATCAAACTATACAGTGGAGCAAGGACCTGAGTCTAGGCTTCCACTTCTCAGGCGAGTGCCCACCCACTGGGGGAGGACTGCCGCACTGCCACCTCCTTCTCCACGGAAAGGTCCTCGCGAATCTACCGTGAGCCAGGGTTTGGGGCTGAAACTTGTTCAGTGAGTTCATGTCAAATTCGACCCAAAGTCGCGAACAGTTCCACGTCCAAGGACACTTGCGTTCGTCAGTGAATAAAGGATTCATCCAAAAAGGTTTTGCTTTCGTACAAGGTGGGGTGTCGTACCCAGGTCTTGGTCTAAGAGTGGGAGAACTGTGAAATTCTACCCCAGGACAAGATCTCATGGCCGCTGTCCACGTAAAACAGACTGGCCACGGTGAAGTCCCTAGTGGAATTTCTCGCTCTTTTCCCAACTCGGAAACTGGGAGAAAGATCTGCACGTTAGAGGGCGCGCTGGGTTCTCTTTCACGCCCCGAAGCTCTGCGACAATCATGGGGCGCCCCCACATCAGTCCACCCCTGAGCAGCCCCTCTCCCCCCTGGACACTTGACGCCAGACAGCACCATTCAGTTGGTTTATTTCAGCAGGAGTGGGAGGGGGGGCTGCAGACAGGGGTCGGTCAGAATGTGGACTCCAGCGGGTGCCGACACCTCTTGCCCCCTCTGGTCTAGCCCCACAGCCTCAGGGCATTTTAAAGATGCAGAAAATAACTCATTTGCATCAAGAGCCCCAATCACTGACTAGGACCCTGCTGCGCTAGGTGCTGTACAAAACCCAGAACAAATATGTGGCCCATTCCCCAGAGAGCTTCTGATCTAAACCTGAGACAAGAGATGATGGCCAGTGTGACACACAGCCGTCTCAACACACCAGCAGCCTAACCGTCGTCAAAACGAAGACGCCCAATGGGAAACAGACCAACGAAATTGCTCTGTCCCAGTGAGCCGAGCGGGAATTTCAGAGCCTAGTGAGGAGCCCGCCCCAGGAGCTGCCCTGGCGGGTAGGCAGAGAGGGGACAAGAACAACAGCAGCTGCCCCCTCCCGCATGTTCAGAGACGGTGTGAGAAGCCCCCCTCCCCACCGCAGGGGGAGATCTTACCTCATAATATCCATCAATAAAGACCGTGATCATCTGGGGGTTGACCCCTTGAGCTGACAGCAGGGAGCGCAGCATCCTGGGGGCCAGGAGAGGAGAGAGTGAAAATGTGCTTGCTTGAAAGTCTGGAGTCTCTTTAACAGACTGAATGCCATGGTAACGGGGAGGGGGGGTGCCATGCAAGAGCCTTGCACAAGTGTCTTCTCTCTCAGATGGAGGGGGAAGCGGGCCCTCTCAGACCCCAGGGTCAGGCCCCTGCTCTCTTTCCTGGGAGTGTCCAGCCCTCCTGCAGAGGGCACCGGGTGAGAGACGGTCGCCTGGCGACATGCTGAGCCAATGATGAAACTTGCGCACCAGAAGAAGGAGACGGTTCAACACTCAAGTGAGGCCTAGATCCCTTGGGTGGGGGGTGGTGAGGTCCTTGCAAACCCCGACATTGCCCCATACTCCCTTCCCATGGCGAAGCTGGGAGGGTAATGCCTATCATCACTCAGAGTTGGCCAGCAGGGATGGAGAAAAATCCCTTGAGGACTACACAACACACTAACCTGCCCCCAGGACAAAGCCACCCACCCGTGGGGCATTCAGAACCCCACCACTACCTGCTCCCGCAGCATTTTGTGGCTGGGCTACTCACGAGTTGGCCACTAGGAAGACACCCTTGAAGCCTTCTGGGAAAGCAAAGGAGACTAGCGGGCGACTCCTCCGGCTAATGACATCAGAGAGCGGGATCCCCAAGAAGAACGGGAGTGCCTGCATTGCCCGGGGTTATTCGGAGCCAGGACCGGGTACAGAAGCACAGCTGTTCCCAGTGCTCCATCTGCACTAGCTGGAGATGGAGTGATCTCATGGGGCTTCCCCAGCTTGGCTTTCTATGGACCCTGCAAGAGAGATCCAATGCTTTCCCCGGGACATCCCTCCACAGCCCATGCAACGTCCCGCCAAGCACTCACCTGTACAAGTAATTGGGTCTGTTCCCTGCAATGACAGCCACAGGCACATTAAAGACTTTATTGTCCTTGAGCTGGAAGAGAAAAATGTTTGTGATAAGGGCTTTGGGAAGCCACTAGGAGCCACCCGCCCAGCCCCGGGCCCCGACAGCCCTGAGAAGAACCAGTGACGTCTGCAAGGTTTACGAGCCCTGCCCACAGCGAGGGGATCTCATGGGAGTCAATTCACCACCCAGCTGTCCTTCCTCTTTATTTCAAGAGAGGGGACAGCACTGTTCTCATCCAGCCTTGAAACAGAGCAGAGACCCTTTGCCCACAAGGAGAACCCTGGTGCAAGGATGATGGCCTCATTCAGTCCATCTTAGACACCTTCAGATGTCCTCCTGCCCCACCACGGCAGGCTGGGATCCGGGCAGGGCAGGGCTGGGCCCGGTCAGTACTTGGCTGCGGGACAGCTAAAGAATCCTGGGGCTGCAGGGGGGAGAAAAAAAAAATCGCATGGTGATTGTTTCGGCAAGGTTCTCTCTTCAGGACTGATCCCAGGCCTCGGCCTGGCCTGAGAGGAATGCCAGGTGACTGGAGATGCCAGCTGTCAGGTAAGAGATGCCACAGGGGTCCTGCCCGCTTGCTGCCATTTCGGACCCAAGAGCACTTTTTGCTAGACCGTAACAGAGCCCTAGTCCAGAAGGGAGTGCCAGACCAGGAGGTCATCACTGACCACCACCCGGCCAGCCCACACCAAGCCCGACGGTTACAGCCCTCAGGAGGCTGGACTGAGGTGTGCCACGGGCAGGGAACAGAAGAGACGGCAGTGTCAGGAATGCTCCAGGCCCCTGCCACGGCAGGGAATGGACGTAGCGAGATCTACCCTGGTGTGTACGAACCCTCGTGCCCTAGCTACTCTACCACAGTCGTCCCTGGCCGTTTCAGAGAGACACTGCAGCATCCTTCCCTTCCCTTCCCACAGCCAGGTGCATTCGGGGAGCCCGCTGGAGGTGGCATGCCGCGCAGAAGCAGGCCGACGTGATTTCAGCGGGAGCCCTCTGTGCTCCGTCTATCCCGAAGCCTCCTGCAGACGTTATGCCAGGGGAGGGCCACGCACCGCTCCATGCTCAGCTGGCGGCAAGGGCTTCCCGCTCCCCTTCCTCCGCTCGCGCTTGGAGGGGAAGACGACCGCTGGCCGTTGCACACTCACGGGATCAGGGTTGAACTCGATGGGCGTGGGGTCTTTGCAGCTGCAGACGCTGCCGTAACCTTCCACCTTGGTGCAGAACCTCCACCGGCGGCGGTTCAGCTCCGTGTCGGGCCAGCGGCACTCGGCATCTGCGGGGGAACGGGAGACTAGCCGAGTTCAGACCACTGCTCGGGGCGGGAGGGGAGAAAGCAGGCAGCTCACCCCTTTGTGCCAGGGCACAGCCCTGCTGCCCTGGCATTTCACTGCCCCCACCTGCAGCCTCAGCTGTCGTGCCATGGCTTACTGCCGTTGGTGGCCACCTGGGCCGAGCGGATGCCTTCGCAGAAGTGCAGCCAGCCTCTGTCCGCTGCCCTGGGTGGGCACCCAGGCTCAAACCCTACAGGGGCACAGAAAGCCCTGGCAGCTGGATGAGCGCAGAAGGAATGGGAGCTCTGAACGGCATGGTCCAGAGAGATTTCTTCCAACTTCTATTTTAAGACCCACCCTAGGCATTCACAAACAATCCCTTGGAAGCAGGAAAAGGAAACCCACTCCTTTATCTCCTCCCCTCCTCCTGGCAGAAGCATGCTGGTTTGTTATTGTAGGGTTGCTAAGAAAATAAAAGAGCAAGCACCGGATTTACAACAGAAGCACCAATTCCGTTTTAACGCCCAGTCCTGTATTAATGAGGTCGGCGGCTTTAAAAAGGAAGAAAAAAAACCCAACCCCAAACAAACCACCACTTCCTAGCCGCCAGAAACGGCCCTGTCAGAACAATGCAGCCTGAAGTCAGCTCCCATCACCCCCCAGTGCAAATTCCTCACCGAGGGGCTTGCACACAGCTCTGCCTCACCCTCCCAGAAGAATACCATCCCTGAGATATGGCAGCACAGGTTTGAGAGAGAGACCCCAAACCTCCCCATGCCCTCCACAAGGCCTCACAGTGCTGGCATCTGATTACTTGTAGGCCAGCAGCACCTCCAGGCCACAGCTGAGCTCAGAACTCCATTGCGCTAGGCGCTGTACGGCCATCGTGAGAGCCAGCGCCTGCCCCACAGAGCTTACAAAGTGGGGGCACAGAAGGGCGAGTGGACGTACACAGTATCAGAGCCAGGAATAGAATCCAGATCCGAGCCGAGAGCCCCATCCACTAGGCCACACTGCCCCTCCTCCCCAATCATTTCTCATCTCCATGGGGCCAGATTTACAGCAGAATCTGGTTTCCCACCCCCCGCCAACCTCTTTCAACCCCGCCCTCCCACCCGCCCCCACTGAGAATGGGGGTTGATCTCTTCTTGAGAGGGGTTCTCCAGCTGCAGGTGCTGAGGCAGAGCCAGGGTCTCCCCGCAGCGTCCGTCTCTCTCCTGCAGCCCTCACCTCTTATCCAAGCGAGGCGTGCGATGGGGCGCCCGCCCACCCAGCGGCTCTCTGCCCCGGTCTGGAGGAGCCCCCCCCCGATTCACCTACCTTCCACGGAGGTCAGCTGGACTTCGGTCTTCAGCAAGACGGGGTCCCCCCATGTGGAGAGCGCCGGAGACTTGGAATGCTTCTCGCCATACACCTCGCCTGAGGGGTGGATGTGCAGTCAGACCCAGGGTGCTGCCGAACGGCACTCAGATACCCAACCATGCCCGTCCCCCTGGCCGCTGTACAGAGCCAGCCAGAACCCACGTCATCACCGAGAGACCAGCTGGTACCTCCTACCCTCCAACAATGACAGGTGCTTGAGAAGGAGACGTGTCTCCCTCCCCCCAACACTCAACCTGCACCCAGGGCGCAGGCCCCCATGGCCAAAAGATGTCAACTCTGCTCGGACACCGCAGGGTAAGGACGGGGTTTGTGGGATTACCCCCCGTGCCCCCACTCACTGAGGGGATGCCATTTCCGTCCAGTTAGCCAGAGTCCATCCCTTCTGTCTCCCCTCCCGTCTGGCCCCGGCCGGAGCAGGGCTCTCACCTCCTTTCTTCCCCACAAAGCTCCACATGTCCCTCCAGCTGAGGGACGAGGCGACCTGGCTTCCCAAGCTCTTCAGGAGGCTCTTTGCTGAGTCTTTAAGGTGGAAGGAGCCTTCGTCCTGGAACGGAACAAAACACATCGTGAGGTGGCATCTTCCCCTGCTCTGAACCGGCAGCATCCATCTCCCACTGCAGCCAGCAGGGTGGTCTTCCCATCGTTCCCCCTCTAAATCCCACTGGAGGCTCAGCCCCAGAGAGCCACGTTTCGGAGCTGGCGGTTGGAAGGCCTCTTCCGCTCACTCCCCCCAGCAGAGCTCGCTGATGCGCACCGGCTGCAGGGCGATTCACCCCCCTGCGAATTGAGGGCGCTAAGCAGACCCACAGGGAAGGTCAGAGCAGCCATGCGTTTCCGACTCAGGATCGCTGCCCTTGCAAAGATCAGACAGAAAGAAAGACGTTGCCTCTGGGTCACAACGGATAGTAAGTTGCATGATGGATTAAAAAAAGTTTATCTTAATTCCTCTGGGGAACGTATCTTCCAAGCTATTTCCCACCTGAGACAGGCGATGCCGCATGCAAGTGTCAGTCAGAAATCAGGAAATGGAACAGTTTAAATAGAAAGGCACAGGGAGTTTTGGACGTAGAGCGTTTCAGAGAAGCTGTAGCTGAAGGATGCTTTATAGGACAGAAAATGCACAAACCCCCAAGAGTGACAGAAAACAATGGGGGAGGATAACACCCATCCAGATGCTCTTCCCACTCATGCTGGTGGGAGACAGGAGTAACCCCATTCTGCTCAACAGCAGTACCCTGCGGTCACATTTAAGTGTTTTCAAACAAACACCCTTTTGCTTTCTCCAAGTGGGGGGAGAGGGGGGGGAGACGGGGCTATCTGAAAACTCGCGCACGATCCTCCTTCAAAACTCCCCTTTGCCAGGATGCCTACAAAAAAAACTTGACAACGGTTCGACTGCTGGTGTGCCGAGACCACTGTCGGTCAGGCTGACCAATACGGCCACAGTTTCCTTGGGCTTCCCTGTCCGTCTATATTCATTTGATGCCTCGTCTTATACTTAGATTGTAAACTCCTTGGGGGCAGGCACTCATTTTTTTCTGCATTTGTATCGCGCACAGCAGAGTGGGGTCCTGGCCTGTGATTGGGGCTCCTAGGTGTTACTGTAATAAATAAGGTACGGATTCCTTGGCATTCCCATCATATAAATAATGAGCTGGAGGAGAATGGGGCTCACTGTCTGACACATGTGTTAGAACGTTCATGAGACAAGACTGCAGGGAAGCAGAACCAGCCTGGGCCTTGCTAGAGCTTGATCCGCGTCAGTGACGTGATCTGCAGTCTCCCTCGGCGTCAGACCCACCTACCTTAATAGAGAAGATCAGGATGCGGCCACGAGCGATCATGTTGAGGAAGAGGACCATGGCTTCGTCTTCATGGGGTGAGTAGGTGTCAAACACCCTCTTGGCCATCACGTGACCCTGCAGATGTTCAAACACATGGCACACCCTGCATGATGCACGTACACCAGGCCCCCGGACACGAGCACCACCCAAAACTCCTCACTGGAGGAAATTCAGGAAGGACAAATGCCAAATATTCCACTTAGGAAGGCCCAATCAATTGCACATGTACGAACTGGGAAAATGACTGCCTAGGAAAGAGTACTGTAGAAAGGGATCTGGGGGTCGTAGTGGATCACAAGCTAAATATATGAGTCAACAGTGTAACCCTATTGCCAAAAAAAAAAAAAGCGCAAACATCATTCTGGGATGTATTAGCAGGAGTGTTGTAAGCAAGACAAGAGAAGTAATTCTTCCGTTCTACTCCGTGCTGATTAGGCTTCACCAGGAGTATTGTGTCCAGTTCTGGGGGCCACATTTCAGGAAAGATGTGGACAAACTGGAGAACATCCAGAGAAGAGAGCACCAGGAAATGTCCGGCAAGGCGCCGCGACAGATAAAGAGATTGTGGAAAATGCCACTCCATCATGCCACAAAGGTCTAGAACACCCGCCTCGTCACCCACTAAAATCAAGAAAACCCCACCGGTCTCAAGCCACAGCCCGCCTTGCGGATGGTAAGGATGTTCGCCGCAGATGGGCTGAAGCCCGGGCAGCTGCCGGCCCACCAAACAAAAATCTCATCGACGTCCCAACTGTGCAAGTGCCGGGTTTCTGCTCTCCACGGCGCATGTGGACCTGTATCCGCCCCCAACGGGGGAGAGGAATGTACTTACTTGTATAAGTAGGGGCATAGCGAGCAGATCAAGGGACGTGATCGTCCCCCTCTATTCGACACTGGTGAGGCCTCATCTGGAGTACTGTGTCCAGTTTTGGGCCCCACACTACAAGAAGGATGTGAATAAATAGGAGAGAGTCCAGCGAAGGGCAACAAAAACGATTAGGGGTCTGGAACACATGACTTATGAGGAGAGGCTGAGGGAACTGGGATTGTTTAGTCTGCAGAAGAGAAGAATAAAGGGGGATTTGATAGCTGCTTTCAACTACCTGAGAGGTGGTTCCAAAGAGGATGGCTCTAGACTATTCTTAGTGGTAGAAGAGGACAGGACAAGGAGTAATGGTCTCAAGTTGCAGTGGGGGAGGTTTAGGTTGGATATTAGGAAAAACTTTTTCACTAGGAGGGTGGTGAAACACTGGAATGCGTTACCTAGGGAGGTGGTAGAATCTCCTTCCTTAGAAGTTTTTAAGGTCAGGCTTGACAAAGCCCTGGCTGGGATGATTTAATTGGGGATTGGTCCTGCTTTGAGCAGGGGGTTGGACTAGATGACCTCCTGAGGTCCCTTCCAACCCTGATATTCTGTGATTCTATGATTCTAAGAGCAACAAAAATGATAAAAGGTCTAGAAAACGACCTATGAGGGAAGATTGATAAAACTGGATTTGTTTAGTCTGGAGAAGAGAAGACTGAGAGGGGACATGATAACAGTTTTCAAGTACATAAAAGGTTATTACAAGGAGGAGAGAAAAAAATTTCTTATCAACCTCTGAGGCTAGGACAAGAAGCAGTGGGTTTAAATTGCAGCAAGGGCGGTGCAGGTTGGACATTAGGAAAAACTTCCACAAGTACTCCTTTTCTTTTTGCGAATACAGACTAACACGGCTGTTCCTCTGAAACCTTCCTGTCAGGGTAGTTAAGCAGTAGAACAAATTGCCTAGGGAGGTTGTGGAATCTCCATCATTGGAGATTTTTAAGAACAGGTTGGACAAACACCTGTCAGGGATGGGCTAGTTATTATGTTTGTCCTGCTTTGAGCGCAGGGGACCAGACTAGATGACCTCTCGAGGTCCCTTTCTGTCCTACGATTCACCAACCTTTCACCAGCTGTAAGGGTGAGCGACAGGGGATGGGGGAGGAGTGAGTTTGGGGGTGGAGCCTCAGAGGAAGAGGGAGCATGGGGGGTGGGGCCATGGTTTGGGTGCAGGTAGCTCCCCCCCCCTCCCCTTTTAGGAACCTTCCATTGCCCCTGCATCCTGGCACTCTGGAAAGCCAAAACTAGAGTTAAGTCTGCACTACATGAGCCAAAGCCCATCAACGCCAATGGAATGACTCCCACTGAAGTCTGTGGCCCCACCTCCAACTACTTCCAACCAGGGCTTTCCCAAGGCATTTCCTTTGAGGCTGCAACTTCCCCAGGCCGAGGCACCCAGCTCCCGGGGCTGAAGCATCCGGCTCACACACGGGTTCATCTGTTGCCAGATATTCCAAGGCAGCTCCACTTTTGTGAGCTGGGCTAGCAAGGGAGAAACCCACCCAGTGCTTTTGTACCATTGCAAGAGAAGGGGTTCAGAGATTTCTCTTTGGCCTGGAGAAATGCAAGACTGGCTTACGCATGTAGCTAGCCCTCATCGAGGAACAGTGTCACTGGGCAGGAATGCCAGACAGCCCTGCCCGAACACATGCAGGGACAATCGGTGCGATTTACCGTAGCCTGATTTAACACAATGATGTGGATCCCTCTGCCCTGCTCTCGAGCGTCATCTTCCAAGACCTGCGGGAGGGAGAAACGTTGTTACAATCCGCCAGGCCTCCCCAATTCTTTCCCAGGAACTCCTCCACCCCAGTGGTGGCAGCTGGGTTTGTCACACAGCTGCTCCTACAGCGGGAGAATTCACTAAACTTCAAATTCCAGCCCCTTCACTGGTTTCTCCAATTCGCGGCAGTGGGCCACCTGCTACCACTGTACTCAGCACAAGCCATCCTCGGAAGAAAGAAAGAGAGGGTGGAGAATTAGACGCTAAGCCTTAGTCTGATCCTAGCTCATTGAGTCAATAGGAGCTTTACCATTGACTTCAATGGCAGCAGAAGTAGGCTTACACTCAAGCCATTCAATTGTTGAGCATGGCAAAGGCCTGAGCTGCATTCTGCTTGGACGAGGAGCTCCAGGAAGAGCTTCAGTTCAAGGTCTGGGTGATGGAGATCAGGTCTGTTCTGGTTCCACCCAAGCCAGTTCTCCCGCCCTCGGCTCCCGTGGGTAACCTGCAGCCTCCTGTACCAGCCACTCACCGTCGTCCCGTCCACAGCCACGTAGACCTTCGACCGGCTGGAGTACACCTCGATGTCCAAGACCTTCCTGGTGCTGGTGGGGCGGCGCAGGCTCTCCAGATGCTGCACACCTTCATCTAAGGAGAGAGGGGTGCCTGAAGACTCAGCCCTACCTGCCTAGTTGTGGCTCAGTGCAACGAGGACCAGCGGGTTCCTCCTCAGTGGATGGGGGAGATTCCCAACCTATCACCACAACACGTGCTTTCTTGCCACTCCCAGCAGGCTGCAGCATCTCTCTTTACAGATCTGGTGGGATGTTCCAAAACATCCTTCCACCAAGCCCAGCTGACGTGGCCCCTGGTGCTTGAGGGACCAGGTGGCAAAGCTTGAGGACCTCCAGCTCTTTAATTACTCCTGATGAGGGAGAAGGGGAGGAAGTGCCAGCCTCACCCACCACCTGGCCTTTCCCAGTTGGGGTGTCAGTCCAGCCCTGGGTGAACAGAAGTCCATGTCTCCAGAATCCACCGTGGCTGGCAGTCTGAACAGAGCGGTCAAGGCCGGATAAGGTGACCATGCACGCATTCCCAGAATGCCAGACTTTCCAGTACTTCTGGGAATAGCGTGGGCCCACCCCTGCCGGCATGACCTTGCTTGCGTGATGCGTACAATGTCACACTGCACAGAGAATGCAATTTGGAACAGCACGCCACTCCACCCTCTGTCTGGTTTAGTCTCAACACTGGATGGGGGACAAACCACCCAAAAGAGAGGGCTATCTGGTCTAAAGCCGGATGAACGGCCTAGCAAAGGATGGAGCAGACCTAGAATGACGTATTATCTCTAGCAGCATGCAGAGGGTTCATTCAACGTCATAGCTAGGGCTGGTCAAAAGTTTTCCATCAAAAATTGTCTTTCCAGCAGATAAACGGGGGTTTCGGTTACACAATTTCCCTCCCCCTCCCCTCACAAAAAGGGTTGCTTTCTGGAAAAGATTTCAACGCTTCCCTCAAAACCACCAAAATCCTGAAAGCTGAAATATTTCAGTTTTGACATATCGCCCTAGTACCTCATGGGAGTTGTAGTCCTGTTTCCTCTCATCCCCATTCTCTTCTATGGGCTGGGCTCTCTAGACAAACTTGATGTCTAGTTGGCAGCCGGTATCAAGCAGAGTGCCCCAGGGGTCAGTCCTGGGGCTGGTTTTGTTCAACATCTTCATTAATGATCTGGCTGATGGGATGGATCACACCCTCAGCAAGTTCACGGATGACACTAAGCTGCAGGGGGTGGGTGGGTGGGGTAGATAGGCTGGAGGGTAGGGATTCCCAAACTGGCGGATTGGGTCAAAAGAAATCTGATGAGGTTCAACAAAGACAAGTGCAGAGTCCTGCACTTAGGACGGAAGAATCCCATGCACCGCTACAGACTAGGGACCGAATGGCTCGGCAGCAGTTCTGCAGACAAGGACCTGGGGATTACAATGGATGAAGCTGAATATGAGTCAGCAGTGTGCCCTTGTTCCCAATAAGGCTAACAGTAGTTAGCTGCATTAGTAGGAGCAGTGCCATCAGATCGAGGGAAGTGATTATTCCCCTCTATTCGGCACTGGTGAGGCCACATCTGGAGTGTTGCATCCGGTTTTGGGCCCCCTACTACAGAAAGGATGTGGACAAATTGGAGAGAGTCCAGCGGAGGGCATTGAAAATAATTAGGGGTCTGGGGCACAGGACTTACGAGGAGAGGCTGAGGGAACTAGATTCTTTAGTCTGCAGAAGAGAAGAGTGAGGGGGGATTTGATAGCAGCCTTCAACTACCTGGAGGGGGTTTCCAAAGAGGATGGAGCTTGACTGTTCTCAGTGGTGGCAGATGCCAGATCAAGCAGTAAGGGTCTCAAGTTGCAATGGGGGAGGTCTAGGTTGGATATTAGGAAAAACTATTTCACTAGGAGGGTGGTGAAGCACTGGAATGGGTTGCCTAGGGAGGTGGTGGAATCGCCATCCTTAGAGGTTTTGAAGGCCTGGCCTGACAAAGCCCTGGCTGGGATGATTTAGTTGGGGATTGGTCCTGCTTTGAGCAGGGGGTTGGACGAGATGACCTCCTGAGGTCTCTTCCAACCCTAATCTTCTTTGATTCTATGAAACTACATCTCCCAGGATGTACCAGGTCAGGGGACTCCCCATGATGCAATCGCTGCCCTTCACCATGAGGTACGACCATGGTGCACCATGGGAGATGTAGTCCCACAAGGAGCCTAGCCTATACAGTAGAAGAGTAAGCGCACATGGCACCTGAAATACAACTCCCATAAGGCACCACGGCAGCATTTCCAACTAAAAATATTTTTGGTTTAGATTTTGTTTGCCAAACAAAGTGGACGTTTCCCCCCCCATGGAAAGTTTTGACAAAGCCTGTTTTCTAACCAGCTCTGGTTACGGCACGGCCGCACGCATTGGCAAGGTAGCATGGGAATGCGTCGACTGCTGCCGCCTTGACCCAGGCCCCTCAGACTCACCATAGTCTTGGGCAGACTCCTCCTCCCCCTCGCTGGCAGCTCTTCTAGTGTCCAAGATCAGCTTAATATTCACAATCACAGTCACAAGCAGAAAGAGGATGGCACCCATCTGCAAGGCAAAAAGTTCTGGGTCAGTTACACGCCGCACAACAACGTGTTAGGATAAACCACAATATGATCCTCACAGAGGATCTCAGATAGCCATAGTTTTCCCTACCACACAGAAGAAAGGGTGGTCCAGTGGCTAGGGTGTTTGTGTAGAACTTGAAACACCCAGGTTCAATTCCCATTTCTGCCACACTCTTCCTGTATGATTTGGGCTAGTCACTTAGCCTTGCCGTGTCTCAGTTTCCCCACCTGTACCATGGGGATAACACCCCTGCCTCACAGGGGTGCGTGAGGAGGGGAAAAATCAACCACATTAGAATAGTGCAAACGTCAGGAGATTCAGAATTACACCTCTGACAGAAACCTTAACTCCCCCTGCATTACGATCTGGGCGCGTGAATCGCTGCAGAGATGAGCGCAGTCAGAGGTCTAGGGGAAAGAGAGAAGAGCAGTATTTTATTTCCTCTGCCTGCCTGGAGACAGCAATGCAGTCACCTCCATGACACTGAACGCTGCAGAGAACGTCACATGGCCCAGCTGCCTGTGACGCTATCGTAATGAAAGAGCCCATCGTAAGGCAGACCTACGAGGAGACAGAGGTCTCTTCTGGAACTTCAGGGGTGAGCTTCCTGTATCAATTGCCTTCCCTACTCCAATGCAATCCTCCCCCAGTCACCTTTGGGCTGAGGACACAGCAGGAGATAGAAATGACCTTTCAGGGCTGAAATTGAGACAGAAAGGGTGACCAGTCCCCTAAGCACAGGGACTGGGGCTCTGGCGATCTGAGTTCAAATCCTGGTGTTGCCATGCTCCCTGCGTGACCTCGGACAAGTCGTAGAATGACTCTCACCATGTTAGTGTCCCTCTCATCTGTAAAAGGAGGCGGATACCCCTCATTTGGGGTAGGGACCGGTTTAGACGCCAGGGGGGCTATATACATAGTTTGAGTCACAAAAGCTGGAAGTCACTAAAGTAGCTGATCACTTTCCCACTGGAAGCAATACTCCTATCCTCAAAGCCATGGGAAAGAGCAACAAACAAGAGACAAGGTTCCTTTACTCTGCTACATACTCTGGTGCCCGGCCTGCCGGCTTTAGCTCTAGTTAATACTCAGAGAGCCTTCCACCAAAGCAGCCAGCACCAGATTATTTATGACTGCAAGGTTGGAAACTGACCAATGGAGAATGCCACTTGCTCACTGGGCACCGAATACGTCTATCACACACTCAGCAGATGGGGGGGCAGGTCCACTGAGCCACATGGCCTCAGACCAGCCTGGAGTTTTGTTATTGTCTACCGCCACTTGACTTCTATTAGCAACTGCCTCATTATACCAGTGGAGCTGTGTCTAGGAGCCAGGCTATGGGGAAAGACAGCAGATAAAAAACAAGAGCCGATTAGTTGGTTAAGCCTGTTGGAGAGGAGCAATCCAGCAAGAGAAAGCCACCCTCCCAGCTACCCCTTCTGCTCCAGCTTGTCATTGAAGCACCCAGAGTTTTTCCTCTCGCTGGTGGTAGCCAGAGTAGGCAAGAGCAGGCTGGTTCCAGGGAGCTTGCTGCACAGTGTGCCAGCCCAGATTTTGTTACTGACGCCAACAGCATCGTTACATTGGTACTGAAGAGCCTTTAGATAGCACCAGGGTCTTATACAGCTCTGCACAGAAACACGTTCCCTTCTTGTGAAGGCTCACACACACACACAGCACAGAGCACAGAAAGGGCTCCAATATAGGCCACGTGGGCTGGGAGGATGCCACTCTCCTGCGGAGCGGCTGCGAGGCTACCTAGACTAGCGGCCATGCAGCAAGATAGAAGGCGCATCCATGGGTTTGAATGACTGGATTTCCATTGCAATGCCCATCGAGCTAGAATATCAATCCCAATTACATTCATCAGGACAGCCTAAAGGTGTGCTGCTTTTGGACAGGAGGGACAGACACAGGAGCAGATCCTGCCCGACACAGGGGTAAAGGGCTTGTTTAACAGAAGAGCAGTGCCACCAAATCAGGGTCAACAATGCACAGGTAACAGGATGGGGAAGGGGATGCAGAGCGATCAGCCAGCACAGGCTCCGTGGCTCTCTGACATGGGAGCAATACCATCAGTTTCCACCCACCCCACTGCGAAAGTGCTTCTTAAAAAGGTCCCACCCTTGTCCAATACAAATCAGAACCCGACTGGTTCACACCTGGCCATTTGCTTTATCTACAAACTGAAGCAGCTGTAAAGCTTGCCACATCCCATATACTGAGGAGCTATTAGACTCCCAGGCCCCCTGTTTGGGTTGTTTATTAGCCAGGGCTTATCAATAGAAGCTATAAATATCCTTAGCTGGTGGTGGCAGTAGGAGCAGCTAAGGCATCGACTCAGGATATCTGGGTTCTGTCCCTCACTCCACCACTGACTCACTGGGTGATCTCAGACAAGTCACTTCTTTTCTCTCTTCCTGTTTCACCATCTGAAAAATGGGGCCACACCAACAGCACTAAGGGCTGGCAAAGCTTAATTTTCTATGGAGGTTTTTCAGCAGCGCCCATCACAGCAGTACTCAAGCCCCGATCAGGCCACGTCAATGTACAAAGCATAGATCATAACAGATTCTTCTCTTCACCTCTCACCAAGTTTTAGTTCATCAGAGTTACAGTTTTGCTTTGAGATCCTCAAATGGAAGCTGACAGGCAAGTCAAGTGACTTAATTCTTGAGTAACAGGTTAATACCCCCTTTAAATTTTCCCACCCTGGCACGGGCTCATTCCCTTCACCCCTCGCCCACCACTCTCCCACAGCTAGGTCCCGAGTCTCGGTAGGACGCACACCAGGCTGGCCAGCAAGCTGCAGAACTGTGCGGCTTTCCACAGCTGCTTCTGAAGCAGCCGCCCAATGCCTCCGGCATGTCCATCCCCATCAGCTGGTCACTTCCAAAGAGACTCAACCAGATCTTCAGCTGGGGTCAAACTGGCTTCAATAGAGCAACACCAGCTGAGAATCTGACCTTCAGCTTTCTGGAGTGCACACACACACGTGCACTTGCCAGCACTTTATTACAGGGCCTCTAAACTATTTGCTTCTGCACATGCAGAGGCAGGATGGTCTAGTGGTTACAGCCCTGGCCTAGGACTTGGGAGTCCCTGCTCTGCCACAGATTCTCTGTGTGACCCTGGGCTTAGCCTTTCAACATCCCCATTGTACAGACGGCGTCACAGCACTTTCTTAGAAAGTGAGAACGGCCAGACTGGGTCAGAGCAATGGTCCACCTAGCCCAGGATCCAGTCTTCCAACAGTAGGCAATGCCAGGTGCTTCAGAGGGAATGAACAGAACAGGCAGTCATCAAGTCATCCATCCTCTGTGGTCCACTCCCAGCATCTGCCAGTCATAGACTGGGGGCACCCACATCATGGGGTTGCATCTCTGACCATCTTGACTAATAGCCATTGATGGATCTATGCTCCATGAATGTATCTAATTCTTTTATTTAGAGGTTTGGCCTTCACAACATCCCCTGGCAAGGAGTTCCACAGGTTGCTTATGTGTTATGTGAAGTAATACTTCCTTTGGTGTGTTGTAAACCTGCTGCCTATTAATTTCATTGGCTGACCTCTGGTTCTTGTGTTATTCACTCCCTCATGTAACACTTCCCTATTCACGTTCCCCACACCAGTCATGCTTTTATAGACCTCTATCATATCCCCTCCCCCCCCCCCGCATAGTCGTCTCTTTTCCAAGCTGAGACGTCCCAGTCATTTTAATCTCTCCTCATGTGGAAGTTGTTCCATCCCTTAATCATTTTTGTTGCCTCTCTCTGTACCTTTTCTAATTCTAACTTATCTTTTTTGACATGGGACCATCTGGAACTGCACACAGTATTAAAGATGTGGGCATACCATGGATTTATACAGCGGCATTATGATATTTACTGTTTTATTACCGATCCCTTTCCTAATGGTTCCTAACATGGTTACCGTTTTCGACTGCCGCTGCACATTGAGTGGATGTTTTCCGACACTATCCACAGTGACTCCAAGCTCTCTTTCCTGAGCAGTAACAGCTAATTTAGATCCCATCATTTTGTGTGTACACTTGGGATTCCCCCCCCCCGCCCGCAATGTGCATTACCAGGATGTCGTGAGGACATATACAGTAATTGCAAGATGCTCAGAAACTGTGGCGATGGGGCAGCTCCTGAGATAGACTGACAAATAAATCAAAACCATGTTCCGCTAGGAGCGAAGAAAGAGCTACCCACTCCCCCTGCAGCACGGAGAACGAGAGCATCTCTCTTGGTAGCGCACAGGGATCACACAACAAAAAATGGACTGGCTCTAGTTTCCCTGGCCAAGATCACAGCGGAGAAGCCATATTAGTTGAAGCCTCGCAAGGATTTCCCTTTCCCCCTGGATGCCAAACCCAGAGCTAGAGTTCAAAACTAGGCCCCAAGCAAGCCCACCCTCCTCTCCTGGAAATGCTCTTTAACAGTTGTTGAGCTGTGCTTGTCCCAGTAATAAACAACATCTAACCACTGGTGAAGTCCATAAAAAAACCCTTTGTCTGCGGAAGAAAAATCTTTAACTGGCTGCAGGCACTTGCTGTAGCTAAAGGAGGGTCAGACTCATTCCATTCTGCATTTTAAGAGTACAATGTAATTCAGGTGGCTTCTGACTGGACAAGTTATTCTCTTCCACCATGTTAGGTCACAGGGGCTGCAGCCGCTTCCACCAACACAGAGACTCCATAATCCATGGGCTTTGCAAGTTTATCTTCTTTAATCCCCATAGGCAGGATTCGCATTACTCCAGAGAACTCACCTGGCATAGCCGCCTGACGGCTCTCTGATTCATCAGCTTGTACTTCCAGGCGAGGTACCAGCTCCGGTTTTTCCGCGGGACAAACTGTTTGGCTGGAGCGTTGGGTTTCCACTCATCCATTATCACGGGGCGAGGAGGATGGGTGAGGGGAGCAGCCTGGGGCAGCTGTCAGGATCTGGTAGGCTCCGGTCCCATTCCTTTGAGGGTCCCTGCTGCAACAGGATCAGCAGGTGCAGAAGACCTGTGGTTGAACCAGGAAGGGATAACCTCTTCCACCCACTCCCGGCCTGACACTGGGCAGGGAAGGAAAAGAAGAGGACGTGCAGGTGCTCTGGATCAGAGTGACCCTTAGGGCAGGGAGTTAGCTGCAGGGCAGACAGATGTCACCCCGAGCCAACGTCAGTGCAAAAATCAGCCCCTAGCACAATCAGGAGTGATAATTTGCTAGCAGTGTGAGCATCCCCACCCACTATTTCTGGGCTGAGGGGCAGGTGTCGTGATCCGCGACGCTTGGCTCAAGGGGTTGCCAGGAGCTCTGTCCCTGGGCCACCGGTTACAACCTGGCAGAGGCTGGTAGCCACCAAGAGCCATTTACTGACCTGCGTGGAGTGAGCTGGTGGCTTCAGTCCAGGTCCTAATGGAACAGGTGTCTGCAGCAGGGACAGCAGCATTGGCATGCTGCGCAGCGGGAAACCGAGCTCTGCTCTCACCCCACACTGCCCCAGACCCTGGTCCGGGCTCATTAGCTAGGGGGTGAGGGCACTCTCCTGCCGTCCCGCCCCACGCTGTTCCAGGGGCTCCCTGAGAACGCCAGGGAAGCAGCCACACTAAGCCAGGGGAGTCTGTAAACCCACCGGGGTGCCATGCACACTAGACAGGATCGGGGGGGGGGGGCACAGAAACCCCCAAATCCCAGCTCCCCTTCCCACGACTTGCCCCGCACGCCCAACGGGAGTGCTCCAGCCGCAAGGTCACCGCCGTGCGCTGTAATATTGGGGGGGGGGGCCGGGGCAGGGCGCCTGGCAGGCAGGCTGAAGTATCTCTGTGGGGCCTGGGCTCAGAGAAGGTGGAGGGAAGGGGAGTTTTAAACGCTAAGCGAGTTAGGCCGGGGGTGGGGGGTAGGAGACCAGCTCCGGGGGGAATCCACTAGCAGAGCCCCCCTATGCTGGAGGGGGGCAACTGGGGAGGGCCTTCCCCCGCCTGCATCGCTCCTCCCCCGCCCCCTTGGTTCAGCCACCGGCGCACCTGTCCCGACGGAAGCGGCACCCGGCTTTGCAACAGTGTTGCCGGCGGGCCGGGCGGCCCCGGGGCCGGGCCGGCGGGTTACGGGCTCTCCCGGCTCTGCAGCGCCCGGGGGAAGCGCCCCGCCGGCGGCCCCTTGCAGCCGGGCCCCCTCCTCGGCGGGCGGGCGCTGGGCTCCGCGGAGCAGCCGCCGCCCCCGGTCGCGGAGCGGCAGCGGCAGCGGCGGCTCGGGGGAGGCTGGACTCGGCGCGCCCGCCTGCTTCCGGCGCGGGCCGCGCAGCCAGCAGCCTGCTCTTAAAGGGGAAAGCTGGCGGGGGGGGGGGTCCACTCCGGAGCCAGCGGCAGCTTCCCACGTGGCGTCAGGTGCCCCCCGTCCACACACACCCACTCTCGGGGGGGGGGGGGGTCTGTGCTCTGCTGGGAGGCCGCCGCTCGGGCCCCTGGGCGGGCCAGGAGACGCAGAGCGGGGCCAGGAGGCTGGCGGCTCGCCCCTCTCCTTGCGCAGTGGCTGAGCCCGGAGGAAAAGGACGGTGCCAGCTGGGGCTGCTCCCCGGGAGGCAGTCGGCCTCATCGAGCGGTGCGTCCTGAGCCCTGTACTGCCCGCGGAGATTTTCCTGAAGGTCGGGGAATGCTTTGCGTTCCGGCCACAGCCATCGTCCAAGGCCCCGCCGGTACGGAAGTCGCATGATAACCCTATTTATTGTTTTATTAACAGACGAGGCAAACTGAGGGGCAGAGGTAGCGAGTGATCCCCCGAAGCTCACCCAGCAAGTCAGAGGAGGCCTTCAGCAGTGTTGCTAAGTCTTGGGATGTTGTTGTTGGTTTTTTTTTCATGAATCTGGAGATATTGGGAGGAGGGGTTCTTCAAGCCCCAGCTCTGGAGTCATGTGAGTTAGTGAGCCAGCTCAGTTTTCATTTAAGAAAATAAAGTTTCTGTCTCTTGTGGTTGCAGAATAAAGCTGGAAAGTGTGAACTGAGGGCATGCTAAGGGCTCGGAAACCACAAGGCAGAAAGTACCCAACCTTTTAAATAAACATGATTTTAAAGCAAATATTAGGAATTTTTTTTTGGGGGGGGGGGGGTTTGACTCACGATTTTTGAATGATTGCGGCTTGCAGTGTTCCCACGTCCTCTTCCGTCTTCTTCTCTCTCAAGCAGGAAAGTCAAATCTATTTTAGATTTTTCTACAGTGCCCACGTATGTGGTAACAAAGCACAGTGAGATTGACTGCAAGTAATTATTTGCAAAAAGAAAAGGAGGACTTGTGGCACCTTAGAGACTAACCAATTTATTTGAGCATGAGCTTTCGTGAGCTACAGCTCACTTCATCCTCACGAAAGCTCACAAAAGCTCATGCTCAAATAAATTGGTTAGTCTCTAAGGTGCCACAAGTACTCCTTTTCTTTTTGCGAATACAGACTAACACGGCTGTTCCTCTGAAACAAGTAATTATTTGTATCACTAGAGGCCCCCCACTGAGATCAGAGCCCCATTGCATTAGGTGCTGTACATTCACATAGGTTAGGAACTAAGAGGAAAGGGATAGAGAATAAAACAGAAAATATCATAACACCACTATACAAATCCACGGCATGCCCACGCCCGCTCCTTGAATATTGTGTGCAGTTCTGGTCACCCCGTCTCAAAAAAGATATTGGAAAAGGTACAGAGAAGAGCAATGAAAAAGATGAGGGGTATGGAACAGCTTCCATATGAGGAGAGATTAAAAAGAGTGGGATTGTTCCCTTTAGAAAAGAGATGACTGGGGGAGATAGGACAGAGGTCTGTAAAACGATGAGTGGTGTGGCGAAAGTAAATAGGGAAGCGTTATTTACCCCCTTCACATAACACAAGAACCAGGGGTTATCCAATGAAATTATGAGGCAGCATGTTTAAAAACCAAACAAAAGGCAGTACTTCTTCACGCAACGCACAGTCAACCTGTGGAACTCCTCGCCAGGGGATGTTGTGAAGGCCAAAAGTCTAACTGGGTTCAAAAAAGAACTAGATAAGTTCATGGAGGATAGGTCCATCAACAGCTATTAGCAAGATGGTCAGGGCCCCACCCCCACACTTTGGGTGTCCCTAAACCTCCAACTGCCAAAATCTGAGACTGGATGATGGGATGGCTCACCCAAAATTGCCCTGTTCTGTTCATTCCCTCTGAAGTGTCTGGCACTGGCTGCTGTCGGAAGACAGGACACTGGGCTAGATGGACCATTGGCCTGACCCAGTATGGCCGTTCTTATGAGACAGTCTCTTCCCCAAAGAGCTTGCAGTCTAAATGGATAAGACAGAATTATTATCTCCATTGCACAGCTGGGGAAACTGAGGCACAGAGCGATGCAGTGATTTGCTGACGGTCACACAGGGAGTCTGTTGCAGAGCCAGGAACTGTACCTAGATCCCTGAATCCCAAATCGGATCCTTAACCACAAACCTTCCTTCCTTGCTAAACCAGTCTTGACAGACCAGGAAAAGAACTACCCCCCGAACAGTGCAGAGTCTGCAACCAGAGGTCAAACAAAATTGTCGTAGCAAAGTGGTTATGGTAAAATGGCTGTTTAAGAGAGAGGCTGGATTATGGAGGAGTACTTCGCTAGCAGTGGTACACGCCTGATCTTTCTCTGTTCTTGCCTGAGGAGTGGATGATTACTCTGGGGTTAAGAGATACCCTGAGGCCATGTCTCCTTGATATAGATCATAGCGATGTTGTCATCAGATACCTGGTGGTAAGAGAGAGCTGCCAACTGGACGCAGGCACTTTAAATAACAGATGCTCGGAGGCTTTGGGAGCTCCCCGAGATCTGTGCTCTGTCTGTACCAGTGAGCCATGCCAGATCGGGTGGTGCGCTCAGCTGCTATGTTTAGGAGGGTGATTGCTACCTTTATTTTGGGCGACTGCAGGACGGGGTATCCAGTCTCATGGGGGAAGCCAGACGTTGGGAAGGTGAAGGTCACAACATAAAGACTGCCTCCCCTCCCCCCAGCCCTCAGCCCTTTAATGGGAGGGTAGCACTGGCATGTATGAAACCAGCACTGGGGCCGGGGAGGATTAGGGGATCCATGTTCTTTTCCATTCAAGGGACTGACTCAGGCCCAGATCCTCCTCCTGTGGGCACGCTCGCCCAGGATAACTTGCGGGCTCACTTTTTTTTTCTTGCCGGTAATTCGCTCTCCTCTGAACTCCGAAGTGTCAAACTTTGCACAGGAGCGGAGGAAGGAAAATGAAATTAGACGTGCGTGAAAACTCGCTCTGCTGGCATCAAAAGAGTTCTGTGGGCTGACATCCCCCCCACCCCGCTGCCTTTGTGAGGGGCTGTTATTCCCAAGCCACAGCCATCCCAAGCCCTGCTCCTGAACGGGGGATCCCTGTGGACCCCCAGAGAGCAGTTTGCAGGATCGGGGCCCTGATCATGACTGCAACATTGCTGCAGCTATTCATCAGCATCAGGTAGCAGATACTTGAAATTCCCCAGTATCCTCCTACATACTGGACAGGGTAACTCTCTGTAAGGGACACCCCCAGGCTGGGATCACCCCGCCCCCGGCATGGAGGGGGCTGCTGCACAGAAAAGTTAACTCGGTCTGGGATTATTTTTAACCTCCCAGAATATGACCTGTGCCGGGTAGAGCAGTGGATCTCACAGACAGCCTTCCATAGCACTCCTTGAAAGGAGAGGTTTCAGAGTAACAGCCGTGTTAGTCTGTATTCGCAAAAAGAAAAGGAGGACTTGTGGCACCTTAGAGACTAACCAATTTATTTGAGCATAAGCTTTTGTGAGCTACAGCTCACTTCATCGGATGCATTCAGTGGAAAGTTTAGAAGATCTTATTATATACACACAAAGCATGAAAAAAATACCTCCTCCCACCCCACTCTCCTGCTGGTAATAGCTTATCTAAAGACAGGTTTCAGAGGAACACCTGTTAGTCTGCTTACAATTTTTTGGCTGACTAGCTCACTTCATCAGATGACCGTTTCCACGGTATGCATCTGATGAGTGAGCTGTGCTCACGAGCTCATGCTCAATGTAGCTCTAGGTGCCTTTCTTTCTTATCTAAAGTGATCGCTCTCCTTACAATGTGTATGATAATCAAGGTTGTAAGGAGAGTGGTCACTTTAGATAAGCCATTACCAGCAGGAGAGTGAGTTTGTGTGTGTGTGTGGGGGGGGGGGGGGGGAGTGAGAAAACCTGGATTTGTGCTGGAAATGGCCCAACTTGATTATCATACACATTGTAAGGAGAGTGATCACTTTAGATAAGCTATTACCAGCAGGACAGTGGGGTGGGAGGAGGTATTTTTTTCATGCTTTGTGTGTATATAATAAGATCTTCTAAACTTTCCACAGTATGCATCCGATGAAGTGAGCTGTAGCTCACGAAAGCTTATGCTCAAATAAATTGGTTAGTCTCTAAGGTGCCACAAGTACTCCTTTTCTTTTTTCTTGAAAGGAGAGGGGGTGCTATGGAGGGAGCAAGGAAAATCCTTCCCATGGAAGGGCTCTATAGAAATGGCATTGACCAGAGATATCACCCTGGCCTAAAAGGCAGGAGATCACTGGTTTCCAATCCCCTGCAGCCACGTCATGGTGGATGGCATAGTTCCAGGGAGGCAGTGCAGCCTAGTAGATTATCCCTGGGACTGTGGAATTCTACCACAGACTACTTCCCGTTTCAGTGCCTCAGTTTCCCCACCTTTAAAATGGGGATAATGATACTGGCCTTGTTTGCAAAGTGCTTGGGGATCTATGGATGAAGAGTGCTAGATATTCTCTCTGAGGTGCCTCTGAATGGTATATCTAGACAACAATCTGCATGTTAAACCCTTTATCGGCACAAATCATTCAGTGCCTGGGTTGAGACTTGAACCCACGACCGGGCCATTGGCTCGAATATCTAGACCACAGACTTTTATGATCCCCCATTGCCCATCAAATGTCTCCAGTGCTACTGAACAACCTGGCACAGGCAGGGTTGCTGAGTATGCTTGCACCTCCCCCATAGAGCTGACCCGCTGGGCTGCTGAATGGACCAGGCAGAGCACAGCTGTGTGCGCCGGATCCTTGCATCCACAACGTGGCAGCAGCTGGAAGATCTGGCAGCAGGAGAGTTATGGCCCACAGATGTTTCTAAATCATTCAGCTCCTGCGGTGCTCAGAGGGATGACAATTTGCACAGAAGAAACTTTTTGTGCACATGGCCTGTCAAAAAGTTGCACAGAAG